GACCTTATCTTGGACTTGCAGAACTGTGAAATACACATCCATCCATTTTGGGGCTGAGGAAGCTCAGTGGTAGAGTCCTTGCCTAGCATGTGTAAGAGAGATGCTGGGTTTGATCCTCAGCACTGGAAAATTAAGTCACGCAGTCTGTAGTCCTTTATGATGTCTGCAGAGGACACTGGTAATAGTCTTTCTGTCACATTCCAATGAATTGGCATGTTGGCTTCTCTGAGAGCAGAAACAGCTCCATGTGGTGCTGTGGGACGTGGGATTCTAAAAGGGCACCTAAGCCCTGTAACCGAGTTTGTGGTATCAGTTCATGTCTACCATTACGTTACCTTGTGCAGCAATCAGGATCTTAGAAGATATAATACAGGCTATAAATCAAACTAATCAAGATGCAGATTGATATATTATGTAATATAATAGGTGTGGGAATGCAAAATTATAGGCATGTATTTTTATATGTGTAAGAAAACTCTCATACTTTTTAATAGCGAAGATATATATTTACTAAAGGTAGGAAGAGAAATATGCTCCAGGGTGAGAGCAGGCCACTGAAGCCAGAGAGCGCACAGTGGCCTGCCACACTGTTCTGTAGCGTGGTTGTCCCACTTTTATTTCCAGCAGCTATTTATAAGAGCACTAGTTATTCCCCAGCTCGAAATACTTGCTACTGTCAGCCCTTGAAATTTAGCCACTTGCCATCCATTTCTCCTTGAGTACCTCTCTGTGACTGGCAGGATAGATTACTTATCTCACACCACCACCCTGAATGTTCTTCCAGCTACATGTTGTTTTTCTCAATGTCACCTGTGCTTCAGGCCACAGTTTCGTAGGCATTTCCTAACAGCTGGCTGGAAGCAGAAAGGCAGAAATGGAGGGGTGTGGCAGGGGAGAGCTGCTCCTCTCACTGCAGCCAGAGAGAGAGAATGAAGTAACCAGAAAGGAAGGGGCCAGGATCACATGTAATGTTCAAAGCCATGCTCCTAATGACCTGGTGTATCCAATTCACACCTCCCCTAGCGAACCCACTCAGCTTCCGAACTTATCTATACACTGATCCACATGAAGTCAGAGTCTTCATGATCCCAGTCAGGTTTCCAAAAGCTCCACTCTCTGCTGAACACCTGTGCCTTTGGGGGACATCTTAGGGGAGTGATGGCAAATAGCTTAGAGACCAGTGCCCCACTGCAACCCCAGGCCACTGATGTATTGCAAAGTGCCAACAGTGCAATTAAACCTGAATGCTATGGTTTTAATTTGAGAAAATCACCTCATGTGTTAATATCTTTTGCTTAAAAGAAAAACAGAACCTGTGCTATGTGTTGACCACCGTTTTAGACCTATCTGTAACAGCATTCTTAGGCCAAGCAGGGATTTGTAGGGGACAGATGTACCTAGAGTAGTGGGATTATACTACAGTGTGTTAGTGAGGGAAATAAGAAAGAATAGAAAAGATTTGAATTTACAGGCCACAGTCGATGCTTCAGTAGGAGAGTGAACCAGCTGTTAGGAAGGTAACAGGGCAGCGGTATGTAGGAAGACTTCTGTGGAAAGACTGGGGAAAGAAGCCCAGTCCTCCCACAGTTCTGAAAGCCTGGTGCAGTTAGGTTACAGGAATGGAGAGAATGACACAGCTGAGAGACCTTAGAATCGATGTGGTTTGGGGAGATGCTGTGTTGAATGTGAGAACCACAGAGCAGGGCTGGGAGACTTTGGGGGAGTCACTCAGAGAAAGGAGTGAGCCGAGGGGAGCCAGTTTACAGGAGTTGTGTAGACTGCATTTGGACATGGCAGCCAGGAGTTCAGGGAAGCAGTAGGAAGTAGATGAAGGAGCCTCCCGCAGGGAGGGCTGTGAAGCCCAGGGCAGGGCAGGGTGGAGGGAGACCTGAAGGGCCTGGCCCTGGCTGTGGTGTGAGGAGGAATATTTAGGTTGCAGGGAGAAGCCCCAGAAAGGAAGGTTACCTGTGGACTTAGATGATGTGAAAGCATGAAACTACCTCTGAGTTTGATCAAGGGATGGAGACTTACTTTTTTCTGCCTCCCTGGTTTAAGGAATGAGAAACAGGGGATGAGGCAGGAAAAGGCATCACACACATTTCAGCTGCTTCCAGGAGTTCAAAATGAGACAATAGGTTAAAGTGGAATAAATGAAAGCTGTTCAGGATAATTAAGAGGGCACAACACGGGAACTCATAAGGAGGGAGATGTGGAAGGGTGCTGGAGACTCCACAGGACCATCTGTGGAGATGCTTGAGAGTGACAGTTGTGTGGCTCCCTCTGCTTCACTAGTCACCTGTGTGGGAGGTGTTTCCGCCCCCCATGAAGAGACTAAGAAGTCTCTCACTTTTAAGTCACCTTCTTTCCCAGAGGAAGACAAGCAGTTCCTTCCAGCAGGTTCCTCCCAGCTGCCCTCACTGTGGCAGTGGAGGTGCAAATGGATTTAGCTAATTCTCTGATCTCTGCATCCATACCTACAGATTTCAAACTGGGCTTCCTTTGACTCCTCAGTGACCCATTTTTTCTTTTATCTGTAAGGAAGACACTGTCTAATGCAGTGTTAACATGAAGCAGCATATCGATGTCTGATATATAGTTTTATTATAAATATAGAGAAAATTTTACATATCATTGGAAGGGGCTTTAGCCAGGCAAATTTAAATAATCCAGCACAGCTTGGAGGAGGGAAAGTGCAAACAGTCAGTGTCAGGGCTAGAAATCCCTGGAAGAGGTACCTGAGTAGGAGAACTCCCAGTGAATTCTGTTAGAGGAGACCTGTTAGGCATAGCATGCGATCCAGAAGTGAACATCAAATAAAACCTTCCCCTTACAGCCCCAAAGATGTTTTCTCTGTGTAGTAGCAAATGGCTTCTTGCGAAATACATTTGTCTTCCTTCTCTTTTCCCTTTTTATTCTAAGTCCTGTTGGGACTCATAGATCCCATGGGAGAAAAGGAATGTTTCAGAGGCCAATCAGAAACCCCAGGGTGGGGTAACCCTCATGCCCTTTATGGCCTTTTGTGGCCCTCAATCCTAAGGGCATCAGCACCAGGGGAGTTTCCCAGGTTGTAAACAAAGCCATCAGCAGGAGCCTATGGTTCCCTTTAGGGAGCTTTGCAGAGCTCAAACACACCATTGCAGAGGCCAAGGTGCCCTGAGACTTTAGGGCTGACAGGTAGAAAATGCACAAGCAACAATAAGGATCAGAAATGTAGCTGGTCTGAAGTGGCTTCAAAGTGAGCCAGGTCCATTTTGGCGTGAATGAGCAAAACCTCTTCTTATTTTTTCTTGGAGTCTTTGACAAAAAAACTTGAGAGGCTCCTGGCCAAGGGGACCTGAGTAGTTTTGGTGGCTTCCTACATACCAACGTGGTAAGATGAGCTTATAGAGCTAATTAAAAATAACCTTTTTGTAGAAATAAGCAGTTACAAAATTTAAAATGGTAAAATGTCTCAGAAAAGGGGAAAAATTACATGTCTCCAGTTGTGCATTCTTTACCAAAAATTTTAAATACTGAATGAAGGACAACTCTGTTTTTTTCCTGAGTTTCCAGAAGACTGCATGTCTCAAAGTGAACTGCTCTATGTAATGGATAAAGAACTGGTGGTCAACTTAACACCAACTGAATTAAGTCAGCATGCTGCTGAGTGTAGATGGCCCACCTGAGGAGAGTTACCAGCAGAAATAGATATGTTGAGAAGAAAAGTATGGTGTTGTGGGTTCTCCTAAGTGTTGCTTTCTGAGCCGGTGGTTCTCCTGGAGAAACTCATCATAAAATAGCTTCTCCAATATGAGTTCAACCATTACCATCAGAGGAGCTCAGAGTTTGCTGGTGAGAGTTGCTGTGGTTCACTTTGGGGGAGGTCTGGTTCTTACATGGAGCATGGCTTCCTGGCTTCAGAGGGGAAGATGTGTGGTGTTTAATCTCCAGGAGAAACTTGTCATGCTTGGCTTTCTGGCACGTATTAGACTGTTTTTATTGGCAGAGGAGCTCAGAACCGCAGTGTCACTGAGGAAGGCTGTAATGCTTTTCAGGGCAGCCCTGGGCCTTGTTTTGAGTGTGGCATCTCAGCTCCAGAATAGAACCCTCAATCTACCAACACAGCTCATTCACCCTGCTGACATAGACCATTCTAGATTCCAACCTGGACCACTGGGCCTATCCAGCACAGATCTGTGACACAGACTTTTGTTCAGTAACCTTCTCCAGGGCTCTATACTTCCAGTGAGACTCATGGGAGGCATTGTCATGGGCTCCAGGTCTTCAGCTGGTGGCATGCAGGACTTCGCTGTAGAATCCAGGCCCTTGCCCGAATATTCTTGGTCTTTAGTGTTGTGGACACATTTCCTGCACTTTATTGTGTTTAATGCTAGGTGAATATCATAAAATAATATTATCAATACAGTGTCCTGACTAACTGCTCTCCTCACAGTCCGCCACTACAACACTCCAAACCCTCAGAGGTATTAAAGATTTATGTGCACTTTTGCACTTCCCATTTCGAGTTACCTGTGAGTCTTTGCAATTCATTTCCCCAGTGGTTTTTAGTGGATTCTCTGGAGATAGGCTTGCAAAGTGCTTACGAGGTATTCTCGCAAAACAGCAAGGTGTTTTAGACCCTGTGCCAGGAGACAAAGCATAGAATTTCCAAGGACACTACTGGTTGCTTATCTGACTTTCTTGAGCATGGCAGGTTCACATGAGAATTTGGAAAGAAAGGAAAAGCTATTATTCATTTTACTTTCTACCTCCTCCACCATCCTTTTTTTTCCTGGCACACACAATTAAATAGAAAAGAAATAACCCTCAAATGGTGGCGAATTCAACTACACTCGATAGGATAGAAGTGGGATGGAAGGAAATGAGTATACTCTGCATAAATAACTTTAAAACAAATCTAGACTGCGAGAAGGGAGCAGCAGGGAACTTCTCATCCAGAATTGGCTTTGCCATCTTTCAATGACAAGGAAGTAGTGTTTCCTACAGTCTCCCGATGTACCTTTTCATTTATTGACATTGGAGAGAGGCCTTGCAGCCTGGAGGTGCTGCATGTGGGAAGACAGAGTAGGGGGCTGATTTTCTTTTTCCTCCAAGTGTAAAGAAATCTCCAGGGATGCCATGGAGTAGGTCAGCAGTGCTGTGACAGGATAGGTTGCATCACTTCTTTTTCACTTCCAAATAAACTGTTTCTGGTACTGTGGGGAGCGGGGAGTGTGAAGTTGATTGCTTTGGTTGTAGGTTATTGAAGTTCAGAAAAGAATATGCAATTTCATCCACCTGTAACGTACAAGCAGCCTTCAATTAAATTACTATCATGGAACTTCATTGTGGCTGTCACCTCATTGAAACATTTAGCTTTGGAAAAGGGCTGATCTCTGCTTGCTGAAATGGTGCTGAATGGTCCTTTGAAGGGATAAATTATGGTGATGCTGTGATACAGTGGAATATGATAATAGCAGTGAGGAGGAACAAACCACAGACATATGCAACATGGGCGAATCTCATAAAACAACACTAACTGAAAGAACACAGGTGCCTACAAGGGTGTGCTGTTAGGATCAAGGTCATGATCATTAGTAGACACTACGAAGATTCTTTTTTGTGGGTAGACATATAGAGTCTTGATTGGGGTGATGTTTTCATGCGTGTGTTCATCTTGTGAAAGTTCACAACCTGTAACCCTATTCTTATGTGAACATTTTTTTAGTATGTGTGTATATTGCATGGAAAGCTTCAGTTGAAAAAAATCCTATAAAATTGTTATAAAGGAACCAGTACTGAAGGTCCCGTATAATGGAACTTATCCTTTGACAGTAACAGCAGGATCAGACTTTAGGTAGATAAAGGAGTAGGAAGTGGTGACTTCTTGTTTGGGGCATGGTACTAGCTGTTTTACGAGTTATTGCATGTCAACACTTCAATCTCCTTGTGAGCAAACCTGAAGAGTAAAGAGATGATGTTATGTGTTAAGGGTGAAAGAGTTACTGGTCTTCCCTGCTAAGAGTGACACATAGCCAAGGTGTAAATATTTCCAAAGTCCAAAGTTGCTGTGAAGTAGACTCATGGAAGTAATTAACCAATCCTTCTCTGATGCTCTATTGAAGAATTTAGGCCCAACTTGAACATATATCTGAGTCTTCAGGAACAACCCATTCTCCCCAGGAAAATTTCCATGAGAAAATGAGCCCGTGAGCATGGCTGTGATTACCTTGTCAGGGGAGTTATCAGAGAGGCCTGGACCTGGGGAAGCAAAAGCAGAGTTACTACACCATGGAAGTGCAAAGCTGATTTAAGGCCTTATGATTTAGCTGCAGGAGATAGCAGATTGTGGCTGTACTTGCTTCCCTTAGAATCTGTGGCCCAGACTGAGGGCATTAGACACAGATGAGTGGTGGGGAGTACAGACACGGGAGACCTCCAGTCACCTCTGATCATTTCTACTGGTTTGCAAGGCCTCGATCCCCTTCCCCACCATGTGTTTCTTAGCAACATGCTTTAATGGCAAGAAGGGGCAGTGAGGGCCCATAGCACCAGAGCACCCAGGAACAGAGGAAAGTTACAGTGAGGAAGTGCCCGCATCCATCATAGAGACAAAGGAGGAGTAATGTGAAGAAATGGCTCCTGGAGCCTGCCTAGCTCAGGGGAGTGAGCTTCTCTCCTGGCTGTGTCTCAGGGGACTCTTGTGACTAGGAAGGTTTTCAGGACCTGTGTCATCTTAGGGCTGGGAAGTACAGCACAATTGAGACTGGGCAGTGTAGTTGGTGAATCTAGGGTTCTCTGCGAGGGCAGGGCACATGGTCGAACATACTCATTCTGACAGGGTGAGTGGCTTTACTTACTGCGATGGTAGACTTGAGGGTTTGTGCTCTGTGAGATCATGCTGGTGGGTTTCCCTAAAAAGATATCAGAAAGTGTGACTGCTATTCCCATGTGCAGGGCCTTTGGTCCCTGGCTTAGCAAGGACACTGTCAACAGATAATTCCTTGACACTCCCTGATGTCAATTCATTTTACAGTTGGCGTTGTTTTTCCTCTTTGTCCTCATTCTTCATGCTCACCATAATTCCTGCTTCCTCCCTTCCTGTTTCCAGATGTCTAGTTTTTAGCTCTTTTTTTCCTGGTGCTGGAGTCAAACCCAGGGCAAATGCTGCTGCTGAGCTATATCCCAAACCTTGCGGATTTAGTCTTTGTTGACCCTTCTGTGCCTCCCTTATATATGTGCCTCTCCTATTTTGTTTTGCATAGGAAGAGTTTGTTTCTTCCCCCTTACGTTATTTACTGTCCAAAAGGATTTTGCTTTTTTATATTTTCTACTGAATTGCCTTGCTCCCTCATCCTGCTACTGTGACCAACAGAGTAAATTACTTACTGGCTGTGGGGGCTGTTCAGGCTGTGGGGGCTGTTCAGGCTGTGGGGGCTGTTCAGGCTGTGGCGGCTGTTCAGGCTGTGGGGGCTGTTCAGGCTGTGGGGGCTGTTCAGGCTGTGGGGGCTCTGTTGGCCCTGTTGGCTCCGTTGGTTTAATTTCTGCAGGTGCTTCGACCTTGGGTTGCTCACTGGAGGGATGAAGAACATAACTGAATCTGTTTCTTGAACCATGGATGAGAAAAACCATAGCCAAGAGACAGTGGAATGGAATACAAGGAGCATGAGGACAGGAGCAGGAAGACCCACTGGAGTTAAGACTGAGCAGCAGGAGTTTAGGAAAGTAAAGAGGAAGTCCAGACCCAAGTCGGAGGATAAAAGTGCTGTCCCCCTCCCCCAAGCACGGCAGAGAGCGTTGGAGGAAGAAGTGGAAAGGGCATCATACCCGCCAGTCTTTCTGTGAACCATTTTATATGCCACGACACTTATCAGAATCACCACAGTTAGAATTAAAATCATCATGCCCATGCCGGTCACCAGCGAGGAGCCAGCTGGCTCTGGTGTTTCTGCCTTAGCTGCCATGGAAAGGAAAGAGAAAAGGCAATGAAAATGAAACTGCTTTCTAGTGGGATGCCTTGAGACACAATTCTTAACATGATGTAGCTCTGTTTATTCCTTTGACAAGTACACGTCTTACGGAATGTGTTGCAGTGAGGTGACTGGCAGGCCTTGTAATGCGCCCCCCTTACTGGTGCTTTATCTTCCCACAATTCTATCCTGGCCTTTGCAGGTGCCTGAAGGCTTTGGAAATGTGAGGAAGGCTGATTGTTATTTCTGTATGTTGTAACTTCCTATTGTTTGTGGTTCCAACTTTTGTCTGGGGTTCTGTTTGTGCTGGCCATGAATATGTGCCTATCAGCTCTCTTGTGGCAAGGGCTTACTTGACAGCAGGCGCAGGTTATTGCGCACTCAGAATTCATCACCTCCTTTTCATAGAGACCATGCTGCCCACCGCGGTTAACAGGGGCATAAAGACGCCCAGGTCTGCAGGACACAGCTTTCCTCTGCTGGGAGACTTTGCATCGAGAATTCTTCATCAGCCTTTCATCAGCCTTGTGCCATCTGTCTGAGATCTAACTGCACTGCAGTCCTAAGTTTCTGTTTACACACAGTTTCTGTTTACACTGTTTCCCCTACATATAGATGAGATCTGCACCATGATCTGAGGACTCTCCTGGGGTCCCTCTGTGAGGTAGACATTATGTCCATTTTATGGATGACACACTGTGCTAAGACTGCTGAAAAGTTTACTTACCTTCATATGGCTCACAAGAAGCATATCTGGCTGTCTGATTTCAAAGCTAACAATAATAGTAGTAGTAATAGCAGATAACACTTATGGAAGTTTTATCTGCCTGTGCCATTTTCCTGATTGGCTGGTTATTATATGAAATATATGAAGCAAGTACTTTTATTGTGATTTACAATTGGGTTATCTGACTCTCAGATAAATTAAGAACCCTATGCAAGATGCTCACAGCAGTAGGTGCTTACATTTAAGAAACGTGATCCCAATTTAACAATCAAATAGGAGTTAGACATATAGAAAAAGAATAAACAAAAATGAAAACTAGTGGAAGGAAGACAATAAGGCTCAGGATAAACATAAATAAAACAGAACAGAAAAACAGTTGACAAAAATCAGTTAAATCAGAAATTGATTTTTTTTAAAAAGGTGGACAAAGCTGAGAAGCTTTAACTGGATTAACTAAGGAAGAGCAAGATTCAAATTACTAAAACGAGAAGTGAAGTAGACATTACTATCAGTTTTTTAGAAAGTAAGCATTTTAAGTATACTGTGAATAATTTTATAACAACAATTGGTTAACACATGTGGAATGTGCAGTATCCGAGAAGCACAAAGAATCATGAAGAAATAGAATGTAAGAATAGATCTGACTCTGGGAAAGCATTTGTTAAAATTCATTTGAAAAAAAGAAAACCAGAAAAAATTCAAACTAGGCTGGGTAGCATAGCAAACACCTGTAGTCTCAGCTCCTATGGATACTGAAGCAGGAATATTGTAAATTCAAGACTTATGCCGACAACTTGCGAAGACTCAGTCTGAAACACAAAATTAAAAGAACCGAGAATTTAGTTCAGTGGTAGAAACCTTTTGGGTTCTATCATCAGTACAAGAAAACAAAGCCAAAAAAAAAGAAAAAAAAAAGGAAGAAAGAAACAAAAAGAAAATGAAACAAAACAAACAACAAACTAGGAATAGAAATAAGTAAAAGACCTTGTATGAAAACCTACATAAATATCAGACTTAGTGGTGAAAGAATAAAAACTTTCCTGGTAAGATTAAGAGCAATACAGGTGCTTTACATTTAACTCTGTTCAATGTAGTATTAGACACCCTAGCAAGAGCAAGGCAGGAAAAAGAAATGAAAGACATCCGAATTGGAAAGAAGTTAACTTATATCCCTTTCCAAATGACAACTTATAGATAGAAAATTCTACTCCAAAAGTATTATCAGTAATTAACAAATTCAACATTTACAGACTAATGAAATCAAATGCAAAACTCAGTTGTATTTCTATATACTAAGCATGAGCAATATAATAGGACATTTTTTAAAATCCTTTTATAAGAGTATCCCAAAGAATAAAGTACTTAGAAATAAACCAAGTTGACTGTGGTGGTCCATGGCTATAAACCTAGTGCTCTAGAATGTTGGAGACCACTACCCAGCGGCTCTGAGCGGGATTTAAAATTAACTAATAGGTTTTCTGTGTTTATCTGCAACTCTGTCCTAGGCCTCAGCCTCTTGCCTGGCTACGGGAGCTGATTCATAGTAAGTGAACCTCTGTGAATTATTGGTCCTGGCTGAGGCCTATAATGGCCTGTGAGGCCAGAGATACCTCAAAGGGCAAGATGAGGCCATAGCTGTGGACCCTTGGCTCAAACATCAATTAAGTATTATGGAGACTGGAGCTGCAGGCATTACTCCTACAGTCTCACTCCTACCATGTTTTCATGATAAAACAGTTACACTGAATTGACTTGATTTGGAGATATTCTTGAAGTGACTCCTGAGGTCCTGCTCATTGCCTACGCCTTCCTCAGTTTCCCTGCCCCAGCTTGTTGTTGGACCAAATAAAGTGGGCAGTCCAGAGACGTCGTTGTCTTAGCCCTCAGAGACTCCAGCTCAGGTAAAGGGTTTTGACTCTACTGGAGCTCTAAAATCATATCACTTGTCTCATTTTATTTAAATCTCCGCCAGACACTTGTTTGGGAGTCAGAGCATCTAGGTCAGGACCTGATACTAGAAAGCTGACATAGAAGGATCACAAAGTCAAGTCTACCCTGGAAAATTTAGCAACTTAGTAATACTTATGTCCACAAAAAACAAAACAAAACCACCAATAACAAAAACACTGGCGAGCCAGCTCAGTGTAATAGCCCTGGGTTCAATCCTCAGTACTGCAAATCAGTCAGTTTTATCAAGGAGCTGAAAGACTAGTACCCAACAAAACTATACAACTTTGCTGAAAATATTAGAAAGTACATAAATGGGAATTATTAGAAAGTACATAAAATGTTTTTTGGAAACAAGGTCTTGCTATGTAGTTTGGTTTGGCCTCCTCTTCAATCCCCTCTGTAAGTGCTGGGACTACAGGTTTGTACCACCGTACCTTACCTATGCTTAGATATTGGAAGACTTAATGTGATTAAGAGACAGTACTACCCCAAATGATCTATAGATTTAGTGCCAGTCCTGTCGAAAGTTCAGTGAGATTTTCAGATAGTCATCATGGTGCATCCTGTAAATCCAGCACTGTGGGAGGATGAGGCAGGATGATGACAAGTTTAAGCCCAGCACAGGCAATTGAGCAAATTAGTGAGACCCCAAGCACAAAACGGGGTGGTGGTAGCAGTAGCTGGGAATGTAGCTAGTGTGAAGGCCTCAGTTTCAACCACCAGTAATACAACAACAAAAAAAAACAAAACCCAGGGACAGGTTTTGCAGAAATAGAAAAATCCATTCTAAAATTCATATGTAATCTTAAGAGCCCCAGAATACCCAATACAATGGTAAATGAAGAATAAAATTGGAGTCACACAGCCTGATTTCAAAATTTAGTACAAAGCTTTGGTATCAAAACAGTATGCTCCTGGCATGAATAAAGATACATAATCAGTGAAACAGATAAAAATATGACAAACGAATGCTCCCATGAATGGCCAAATGATTTTAAACTATTTAAAAACGTTAATTGTCATGTAAGAACACCTATGCATGGGGTACAATGTGGCATTGAATATTTTATATAGAATGTGTGACAACCAGATCAGAGCAATTGGTACCCATCACATCAGCCTTTATCATGCTTTGCATTGTGTACATTTAAAACTGTCATTGCTACTTATTTTGAAATACAGAATTAAGCACTGACAGATATAGTTATCCTGCTGTGCTACAGAATGTTAGAAGTGATTCTTTGTATACAACAGGACTCCAGTGTGCAAAGTATTTTTGATGAGGATGCTCGTATTGTTACATGCAGAAAGGTTTCTTTGACAAAGATGTTGAAAAACCTGAATCTCCATGCACATGAAAGAAGTTGAACCTTTACCTGACATTATAAAGTAAAATTAATTCCAAATGGGCCAAATACCTAAATGTAACAGCTAAACTGTAAAATAGTTACCAGCAAATAGATAGAAAACCCTGGTTATGTTGGATTTGGCAATGATTTCTTGGCTCTGAAAACCAAAGCACAGGCAACAACACTAAGAATAAAATAGGTAAGTTGGACCTCTTGAAAATTAAAAGGTTCTGTGTGTGAAAGGATGTTATCCACCTATGACCCAGAAATTCCTCTTCTGGATTTATGTACAAAGAATTTGAAATCATCTTTTGAAGAGGTAACTAAACTCCTGTGTTAAACACGGCATTATTTACAAGACCAAGATATGGAAACTCAGTGTCCATCGTGGATGAACGGATAAAGACAACATGGTCTGTGTACACAGAGGAATACTGTTTAGCCTGGAAAGGAAGTCTCTTCTGTGATTTCGGCAGCATAGATAAACCTAGTTTAGTGAAATAATCCAGGAACAGGGAGAGAAATAGTGCATGATCTCACCCATATGTGGAATCTAAAAAACACCAAACTTGAACTAAAGAGGAGAGTGATGGCTTTGAGAGATGGGGCAGCAGGGGAGGAGGCGAATGGGAAGTTGGTCAAAGGGTTCAAAGTTTCAGCTGGACAAGAGGAACGTGTTTTGAGACCTATTGGACAGCGGGACGGTTACAGTATATGATAATGTATATTTCAAAGTACTAACAATATATTTCAAATATCTTACCATACAAATGATAGATAAGAGGGGTGATGGATAATTATCTCAGTTCAACCGTTTTATATCATAAACAAATATCAAACAACCACATTGTAAATATCACACAAATGTTTTTCCTACTACAATCAAGCTTGGTGGCACATGCCTGTCTCCCTAGCACTGGGGAGGCTGCAGCAGAGGATCACTGTGAGTTCAAGGCCAGCCTGGACTACGTAGTGAGACCCTGTCTAAAAATGCAAAATAGTAAAGCAAAACTATTACAGTTTAACAAAAACAAAAAGTCCCAAACAATCCATGTAAAAAACAGACTTGAGCAGCCATTTCTCTAAAGAAGATATAAAAATGGCCAGTAAGAATATAAAAAGATGTGGAATATCATTAGTTATTAGGGAGGGGCAAATCAAAACCACCTCACACCCAGTAGGATATCTACCATCAAAACACAAGTCTTTTTGAGGATGTAGAGAAATCGGGACTTGTGTGCATGTGGGTAGGTGGGAATGTGAAATGGGGCAGTCACTGTGGAACTCAGTATAGGGCTTCCTCAAAAGATACTGTTTCTTATTTTGTAATTCCACAACTCAGTATCAACCTTACTGAAATCAAGAGTTTGAACAGGTATCTGCATATTTTTTCATGGACAGAATTATTAATCGACCAAACATGGAAACAATCCTAAAATCTATTGATGGATGAGTAAGTGACATGAAGTATACCCTATAAAGTGGTATATCCATACAATAGACTATCATGGTCTTAAAAAATAAAAATAAAGGAACAAAGTTCTGGTACATATTACAAAATGGATAGAGCCTTGAAGACATTATGCTAAGTGAACTAAATCAGACATGAAGACATATTGCATAATCTCCTTTGTGTGAGAGGCTTAGAATACAAATAAATACAGAAAGAAGGGGGTTACTGGAGGCTGTGCAGTGGTGGAATGGGGTGTTATTGTATATTGGGTATAAAGTGTTAGTGTGGTAAGATGAAAAATTTCCAGAAATGGATAGTGGCAATGTTACATAACAAAATGACTGTACCGAATGTCAAGGAACTGTGCATTTCAAAATGGTTAAAATAATAAGTCTTGTGTATATTTTACCACATAGCACAGGAAAGTTAACAGAAAATAGATTTTAAAAAATCTTGTGCAAGGTGACAATCAATGCCACACTCAGGATAAGAAACTGTATGGTTGGCTTCCTTGCATGCACGGATTTAAGCAACTATTGAGGTTTAAAACTCTTCAGAAAAAAGAATGGGCCCACATTAGAAAATGTACAGACATTTTTCTCTTCATTATTCTTTAAAAAGTGGAGCACAAGAATAATTTACCTTGCATTTGGTATTGGAAATAGTGTAGCCATGATTTAAAATATAGGAAAACTAAGTATGGTGGCTTATTCTGTAGACCTGGCACTCTGCAGAGCTGAGGCTAGAGAATCACAAGTGTGAGTACAGTCTTCCCAACTTGATAATCTAGTAAGACAGTCTCAAAATAAAAGAAGAAGAAATAGGCTGAGGATATACCTCAGCAGCACAATGCCTGCCTGTCAGGCATGAGATCTTGAGTTTGATTCCCTGTACCAAGGGGAAAAAAAGAAGGGATTAGGAATGTGGCTCTAGTCTTAATCCCTAGTAATACAAACAAACAATCAAAAATATGTAGGAGAATTCTCAGAGTCACATGTAAATGCTAACCCACTTCAACATATGGCATGAGAGTATCCACAGATGCTGGTGTCTGTGGGGCTAACTCCCTGTGAAGACTGAGGGGTGACTGTGGAGTCAGACCCAAAGATCATAACTACTTTGTGAGTCTCTTCACTATATTTGTGTCTCAACTGATACATTCCCTGTGGCTTTTATCCATCTTGCACATTATTGGGTGAGAAATTCTCCCCAGAAGAGGTAGGAGAGGAGAAGCCACTCACCAGTCACTTTTAACCTGACGGTTTCACTCCTGCTGGAACTGATACCATTGGAGACCTCACACTGATAATGCCCGGAATCCTCAACCTTGACAGGCTTGATGGTGATGGAGTTGCCTTCTACGGTCAGCTTCATTCTTTCTGTGAGCTTCAGACTATAGCCTTCAAATAACCATGATGTGGTTACGCCACTCTCACTTGAGACACAGTTCAGGACCACAGAATCGCCTTCTTTGAGATTGGTGCTGCTGGCGTGGATGGTGGGTTTCACCAAACTTGCTGTGGACAGAGGAGAGAATCAACTGAGCATGGGCCTTAGGCCTAGCTGTGCCCTTTCCTTGCATATTTAAACAAGTCTCTGGGCCACTGTGAGTGCTGTGAGGTGATTCTGAGGACCGCCCTGACTCTCCATAGAGGTTGCATGCCTAGGCTCAGGTGACAGTAAGGATCGGGCTATCCCTCCCTCTAAACCCAGCACACCCAGGGAGACCAATCAGTGTCCATCGACCTCTCTGAGGGATCCACATGAGGAACCTGTTATTAGCCAATCTGTCCAAAAATGTCATTGGAAGCTCGAATATTTTTTCCCATTGACTTTTTTTCTTTTAATTTAAGAAAGTCAAAGTGAAAGGTGGGAGGGCACTGTCTCCGCAGAGCAAGCATGGACAGAGGAAAAGAGCAAACAACAAGATAAAAGATTATCCTGAGCAAGGTAGGGTGGGCTATCATCAGGAAAGCCTCAATAGACACCCATTTACATTTTCTTTCTTTGAGACAAGGTCTCACGATGTAGTTCAGTCTGGCCTTGAGCTCACTTTGTCACCCAGGCTGGTCTCCTACTTGCAACAGTGCTCTTGCCTCAGCCTCCCAACTGCTGGGATTAAAGGCATGAGCCACCATGCTAAGCCTCCCACTGCCTTTTCCACAGTGTTTTGCAAGTTCTTTCTGTAACAGTAAAAGCTAAGTCACCTGTAGCCTGAAGAACATGTCACTTTTAAAGGACTTTGATTTCCTGACCAGTGGATTCAATGCCACAGTGAAGGAAATCAGCAGAGATAAATGGTCACAGTGTTCCCGAAAGACTGGCTTCATTCTCTCTGCAAACTTAGCCCTTTAGCCCTGTCCTTCCCTCCATTCAGGAGTTCACCGGGGAGCACCACTCTCCACGGTGGATCACCTGCAGGTACATTCTCAGCCTCAGACACCTGGAACATCAGAGCCAGTACCCAGCTCAGAGGCATCTGCCACAGGTGCACTTTTTCATTTCATTGCCTGCTGGGAAGGCTCAGTGCCCATTGGGGACATGATTTAGCAGATTCAGGACAGTTCACCCAGACCTTCTGCACCTGTCCTGTTCCATCCCAGATTGAGTAAGGGCAGAGCCAGTTCCTATATAAGACTGGAACAGAGCTGGAACAGAGCTCTGAGCTGCTGTTATTTGTCCAAGAGGGATTTCCTCCTCTGTTTTGGAGAAAAACAGTGCAAAGATGTATCAAAGCCCTGTGAGTTCCTTGTAGCTCACAGAAGAGGTAAAAAAGAGATGACAGAAGGGCTGACTTACTGAGGGAAAGAACGGATGTGACCTTAAAGATGTCCCCCATCCTAGTTTCTGTGTATCTCCAGCCACTCAGTGAGGCTTTGTGGGATTAGAAGAACAGTCTTTCTTTATTTCACACTGAACTCCAGCTCAGCCATGAGGAATTAGGAATCAAGGGGAGGACAGTCTTGAGGATGGGGCCAAATGCCCAGGGAGGATGAATATTTGCTTGTGTCTGGGGACACAGGCTAGGAAGTGACTTCTTTCCCATTATTTGAAAACTACCAAAACACTGCCCTAGGGTTGGTGCTATCACTCAAGAATGCACTTCCCAGTGACTGTAATATCCTTGAGAGCGCTCCTATTAAGGCCAGTGGCAGGGTTAGAGACAAGGCAGGTGTGAGATTCAATGTTATTTGCAGAGTTGTAAGGGACAGAAAGCTCCTAGGTGGATTGCAGGTGACTCTCATTGACAAGCGAGGAACACTGTGCAGGTGGGTTAGAGGCTGTGTGGCAGGAGAGGCTGAGGTTTGTCCTTGGATGGAAATGTAACTCTGGGGCAATATGATGGGGGCATCTGGGCCATTTGGGGTGAACAGAATAAAGTCACATGTGACTTCGTCAGAGGAATGGGGAAGCTTCTTGTATATAGAAGGCTGAGTGAGTATCCTTCTGAGCCATGTCACAATCTTGGTATGAAAACATCCCAACCAGATGAGGGGGTGCAGCTCCATGGCTCAGCACCCGCCTAGCATTCATCAGGCCCTGCTTCCATTCCCAGTACTATGTACACAGGAAAAAGTCCAGGTCGTATCCCTCTGTGTGGGCTGAATCTGAGTCCTTCCCCTGTTGTTAGATAACAGGTAGTAGAGTGAATCCCTACAAGCAAGTTAGGGTTAGGGTTAGGGTTAGGGTTAAGGTAGCCATTGCGGATTTCCTATCGTTTTGTGGTGAAGGACAGTAATGCTTTTATTCTTGGCTTTGATTGTTTTTTAGCCTGTTTTCTATTATTTCATTTCAATATGGGTGAAGGTACAGACAGCTATTTTGAAGAGAACAAGAGACATTACGATAGCCACAGTTGATTTTCCTATGTCTGACTTTGAAGGCCTGTAATGCATTCATTCTTTTGTTTTGATTGGTTTTACACTATTTAATTTTGTTTCCATTCATCGATTTTGAAGACATGGACCACTATGTCTAAGAGAACAAGAGACATTATGGTATCCACTGCTGATTTCCTGTTGTCTTGTTTTGAAATCGTGTGTTGCTTGCATTGTTTTCTTCTGATCTGCTTTGTTCTGTTCTGTTTTCCTTTGCTTTGCTTTGTTTTATATTTACGAAAAATGAAGCCCATTTTCTGGACCTAAGAGAGAGAGTGGGCTGGCCTCTGCCTCTGACCCTGCTTACTGGGTGGTTAGCTGAGACCACAATAGAATACAAGTTATGCACAGGAAACATTCAGGGAGACTGAGTCACTTCATTTAGAGGTCACTGCATTCTCAGTTTCACACTCATAGGATCCTGTGTCATTCCCTGTGACAGTGAATAAAGTGAAACTCCGGATGCCGTCAGACAGTTTCAGCCTATCATCATCTTGAAGGATCTGACCATTTATCCACCACAGGAAGGTTGTGTCCTGAGTCTTGGATTCACATGTCAGTGCTATGGCTTCCTCACTCTCCCCAGGGCTAGAGTTGTTGATTGTGATGTAGGGTTTGAGCAAGATCGCTGTTCAGAAAACGGAGAGATGATTGCCTCTTGTGGTACCTTTGGTCTGGGCAAAGGCATTTTCCACCAGAGTGGAGCTGTCTCACCTCTCAGTCAACTTGAGTCCTTAAAGGACCAGAAAAGAGTGCATTTTACAGGCAGGTGCATGAGGACCTGAGCACTCAGAGGACACGAGAACAACTACATTTTGTCTGAAAAGGGCATATGCCTTTTCATGTGGGAACCAAGCTGCAGTATTTAGTCATGGATAGACCCCAGGTGCCTCTCCTGTCCTCACTGCCAGCCACCTGGTTTGCCATGTGTCATGTATGTGCTGAGCCCTCTATCTGCAGAGCCCTCCACTGCTCAGATTCAGGTGTTTTCTCTCAGGCTGTGTCTTGCAAGGCTGTGCTCCAGATGAGTCATAATGGGATCTGCCACTGGGCTTAAACTTACAGAAGACCCCACAGCCCGGATGGAGGATGCTTGTGTGCAGAAATCACACACAAGGGGAGCAACACCAAGCCTGGTATTCAGCTCAGGGGTCAGCTTGAGCCCATAATGCAGAGAGATTCAACCCAGGGGTTTCATGGTGACTGACAGGAACATGAGTCTAATAAATGATCTAGGACATTGGGAAGGGGACAAAGTTTAAAACGCTGAATCAAATTCTTGTTCTTGGTGTTTAATGTCCCTATTGCCACTGTAGGTGGTAGATGAAGACACTAAGGGCTTTGACAGATTTAGATAGCAATTTCAGACATTAAATTATGTCTCTGGGGATTTTTCATTTCTGTCCTTGGATCTAATTCCAATTACTTAAAGAAGTATTTCTCTAGGAGAACTATCGCAACATAGGCCAAGCCCTGAAAACTTTTCGGGTCACATCTGAATAAAAGATAGTTCCTGAAATCAGTTTGCAACTAGCTGCTCCCTGCTGAGGAGCCCTGTGAGCCTGGTTGGGAGGACAGACCTCATCAGAGGGGAAGTTGGAGGCATCCCTACTGTAAAATGAGGAATGATAGCAACTTCCAAGAAGTGGCACATCACTTTAGTAACACTGGAAGTCCACCTTCCCAGTTCCTTTTGGGAATGAGGCAAAGCAGGCAGGAGCCCAAGTAGGCATGTAAAATTTCCTGTCTTTTCTTTTGACCCCAGGAAGCACCACTAGGGTTTTATTAAATTCTTCCAGATCAGACCAGACTAACTAAAAATACCATGGCTGATGAATCTACAGGATCTGTTTGTGATGATGGTGTCATGGGGACACAAGTGTGAATGACACAGGTACCAAACTCCTAAAATAGTGCTTGCGAGGCCAATGTCCTTAGCAGGAAGGGGTGTGGAACTATGAAGAGATGTGAGCCCCACATGGGGAGCAGGATGGAGTCAGGAGTCAGATAGGTGGAAATAGCCTGGAGTTTTGGGTTTTGCAGTTCTGTCCCTCTGCCTCTGATCCCCCCAGCTGAGTCAGCATAGACAGAGAATATGCTGGGACTTATCTTGTGGCCTGTGCTCCCTATGTAAGGAGCAAGTCCCAGTGCAGGGCTCAGTAGAGGCCCCACCCTAGCAGGGGTCATTGCCTCATGACAGAGCCTTATGGGCCACCTGCTGTGACTGATTTCTGTGACCTTTTCTTTTGTTCAGGAGGGTGGGTCTAGCCCCAGGTGTTAGTGACAGGAAGCTGGATCATCAGCCATGAGCCTGGGGGAAAGAATGCAGCAATCTGTAGTACAGAAGCTGAAGTGACCAGAAGATTTGGACAGAGAAAGAGCTGAGAGAGCCAGAAATGCCCATGGCAGGGAGCAGTGCAGTTTCAGTGACATCACAATCCCCAGAGACCAAGAGACTCACAAGCTGCCTCTGAGCCAATCAGAGCACTCCTGCAAGGCTTCTCACAGCCCAGCAGTTCCAGCATCATTATGTGAGATGGCTCCTGGGGTCGCTTCAAAAGCAGGGGATCACATGAAGAGAAAAAGTACCTCAGCCTGTGAACAGGACAGGAAGCTACTGTGGCTAGAAACTTTCAGGATGCTGTGTGGAAATCCCAGTCTCTGAAAGTGTCTAGGTTATTCACTGATTGCTTATTTTTCCTCTCATTCATCACAATACTGTTGACTTGGCTGTGAATCTTGGGCATGTTGGTTTCACGATCCAGTGCAGAGAAAGAGAACAGAGCCATCTCTTTGATACTCCAGGGAAGCGATCCTCAACACGTCAGGAAGATAGGACTCTCTAAGTCTAATGAGGGTGGCTGTGGGTTGGTCTCCTGAGCACAGAGCGCTGAACATTGCATTGAAGCAGGTGATTTAATTCTAGAGTAAAAATTGATTAACTCTATATTTGATTTCATTAGTCTAACCGGACTCTGTCTGAGCTGGTGATGATTAAATTTTAAGAAACATGAATCAACAGCTGGAGTCGGGTTCACAGACATCTAAGAAATCTTCCATGGTGGAGATCACAAGGCTGTGTTTTTGGGCATAGATAGGTAATGCCTCTGAGATGCTATCCCTGGTGTGTGTGACCTTGGTCCAGAAATTGTATTTTGTTGTGCCTTCGTCTCTCATTTATAGGATACACAGGAAATGGTATCTGGTTTGCACGTTGTGGGTAAATTAATCTGAAATACTCACATTTATGTGTCATTGGCCTACAGTAGTTGCCCATTTAGGCACGTATTACTTGTAGAATGAATTGGAGCAGTTCAAATTGGAAAAGGAAATTCGAGAAGTCTCATTCTCCTGTGTTCTTGCTCTTAGGAACACTGAGCTTCCTGTGGATTCTCACGAGTCAGTCAAGTTAGTTAATGGCTTCAGGCACCTGCATACCTGTGCTATCTATGCCAAGTCTTAGAGAAAGGAAGGCCCAGGTGCACTTACACATATGTGGGTCTTGTGTTTGTGCACTTTCTGCGGTAAAGACCAGCTGTCGAGAAGTATGAGATTCAGACAGCCACTGAATTACTGCCTGCCATCATTCCTAAACAGTGGGTCACACTACCTCTGAGCCCAAGATCCACGGGATCACCCTAGTGAGGGTCTTGGGACAGAGGTCTGAAGCAAGGGATTGAAGTGTCCTTCAGGTCAAACCCTGCATGAGATCCTCAATGTCACATAAAAAGGAAGTGACTTTGAGGATGGATTGAGAGGCTCTCCTTGGGTCAAGTTACTCCACCCAATTCTCCTTGCTTCTGCAAAGTGGACTCAGGTAAAGGATTGCAGTCTATTGAAGGTCATCTCCACTGTATGCATTATGCACTGTGGGATCAAAGCCCAGCATAGGGATGAAATGTAGCAGGGTTGGGGCACCATCCAGGACTGACAGTTTTCTGTGTGAAGTGAAATTAACCCCATCCCACATCCAAGGTCAGTGAGAACAACTCACAGTTTATGCGGAACTCTTCGGTCACCTCATGAGATACATCATTTTAAAATATGAGTTGTATGCTGTAGATTATTGGTCACCTCCGGTGACATTCAGGATCACCAGGGATCCATTGGGGTATATTGTCTCTCGACTCTGTATGCTTCCCCTGTAGTAAACTCATTCGTGGCTCTGGAATATGTTATAATCAATGTGGTGGGTGAAGTCGTTCCCCCACTGTAACACTTATACTCTGAAGTTTTCACTGTCAAATTGTAGAGTCGTAGAAGAACATTTCCCCCTATATTAACAGTCCCAGGCAGTATTTCAATACCTGATTGGGCAGTGGTAGGTGGGCTCCAGAAGGTCAAAAGTGAGGCTAGAAGAGAGACAGAGAGAAATTCATCAAAGTGGAAACTGTTGGATGGAAAGATGGAGCCCTGAGTCCTGAGATGTTTTCATTGCTTAGTTTGACTGTTGCAGGCATGCGTGTCTCTTACTAAGCTATGGTCAGCAGTGGGACTTCGCTCCTTCCTTGCCCTTGAACTTGTCATTCCCTCTGTGTGGAACACTCTCCCCCAGGGGTCTGCATGGCTCACTGATCACTTCCCTCAGACCCTGCTCCCATTGAGGGCAGCTTGGAGACGCCTGTCCTGATCCCTCATACAGAGATCTGGTTCTTCGATTTCTCACCTTTTCCTGCTTTCTTCACTCAGTGGCTCTTTTCAACACCTGATTTCCCCTTCTAGATGTCTCTATTTGATCAGTTTTCTTCCCTCTGGGACAAACGCTCAGCGAGCACAGGGCGCTGTCTGATTGTTTTGGATCCAAGGGTCTGGAACAACCTCAGATACCATAGAAGAATAGCGATGGCTCTGAGAGCCCTGTGTGCCCAGGGGTTTGTTTGCAGTTTCTGGGGGGGGGGGGGTGCGTGAGCACAATGCTTCATACCCCAGGTGTGATTTTATTGGAGTCACTCTGACTCTGTTGTTGACATCAATAATCAAAATATAGTGGCCTGACAGGTTTTGTTGCTGATGTCCTAAATCCTGAGCAGGGCAGGCTGAGCAGGGATCACTGGGAGATCAATTCCAGCTTGGGCTACATGGATAGTTCAAAGGTAGCCTGAACTGCATAGTGAGCCCATGTGTCGATGAAAAAAAGAAATGTGGCCAGTGATTATTAACTTGTAACAGAGAAAAATGGAGCTTTTCTTCCTCCTTATTTAATACCCATGCACTGCAAGTTTCCTGTTCCTCAGGCTTCTGATCCTCTTTTGTGTTCTCTCCCCTCCTGCTCCAAACAGAAACCTCTGTCATCTCAGACTCCCAGTTTATCAGCAGACCCAGTGAGTATTTAGGGGTCCACCCTCTGGTATATCCTCCCAGGGACTGTCCCCTCTCACCTGTAAAAAGGAGCCCCTGCCAGGGAACAAACCCTCTGTGGAACGTGGCTGTGTGGGACTCCATGGTCTCTGCTGCCTGCTTTGTCCTCCGTCTGTGGAGAAGAGCTTTGGCTCAAACATAGACTCCCAAGCAGGCTGCTCAGGAGGGTCATCTCTACTGTGCTGTCTCCCTCTGAGCTGAGCCTCCTCCCAGGGAAAGGGCAGGCTTCAGAGTCATGTGATGTGGGGGTGGACTCCATGTCTAGAAAGCCTGGTTCCCTCTTTCCCATTGGGTCCATCCTTCCCTGTATATTCCCCATTTTCTGTACGAAATTACATTACCACGGACCACACTTTGGGTCCAAGACTCTTGGGGACTCTGTCACCCAAGACGAGAACTGGTTCAACTCCTTACTGGCCTCTGCACTGTCCTGACTTTGAGGATATCTACAGCCTCGAAATTCCCTGGTGTTCCCAAATCCAGAGCTGTGTTTCCCTATGATACAGAGAAATCCAGTTGAGCATCAGTCCTCCCCTGGATTTTTGTGCATTCTGGGAAGGTAGAATGTACTGCCTGGAGAGAGATGACAGAGATATCTCTACGGGACAGAAAGGGACCAGCTGAGTGATGAATGGTGAGTGGTGAGGGGGACTTACCCTGTGTCTCTGGTGTCACCAGGTGGTCTCTGATCAAAGTTTCAGGAGGAGCTGAAGTTCTGGGTGGGCAGGGATGGAAATGACCCGCATGTCCTGTGAAGGAAGAAGTGTGGTGGGAATAGTGGCTGTGGGCAACCCTGGTGTCAGTGGCAGATTTCTGGGACAGTGCCCCTCTCGAAAAGTCTGTGCTGCAGTGTGATCTGTATCCTCCCTGAGTGAGTTGCTAGCTCCCTGTCCTCTGGCCTGCTGAGTCACCTGTGCTCATACCTTCTCTGACCCCAAGGGTACTGCCAGGAATGAGGGGCCATGCTGAGACTCTTGACATAAATGGATCCTCAGAGTTCCAGAAAGGAGTGGTTGGGACAAACCATATATAAGATAGGAACCCAGAAGTGCCCTTGGGGCTATGGATGGCAATCAGCATGCATCTGCTCCCAAGCCTAAGCTAAATTCACTTTCCAGGAATGGTTTTCCTGAGTGTGAACTGTGTATGCTGATGTCTCCCCCTGGAGATCATGAGGGACTCGTTGCCAGTGTTAGGGGCTGTGGCAGGGATGTTGACCATGCTCTAACTGGCTCTCACTGAATATTAAATAACTCCTCCCTCTATGAAGCTATATTGATACACTTGTCAGAAATCATGTGAGCAATTTTCAGGGATTATTCTCACAATCTACCCAGATAATTTGTGAATCTTCATGCAAGCCCCATGTCATTTTATTACTGTAGCACTGCAGTGAGTTCTTATGTTGTTTTCTATGTAAGAGTCATAGATACCTCTGAGTCACATTTTTGTTGAAATCCATAGAAAGATCGATTCATTTCTAAAGTAGTGAGGTCACTGTATACGCCTGGTCTGGAACTTCTGGTGTCAGGTAATTGACCCCCCCGCCCCCACTCACACACACACTCCATTAGGCTTCAGGACATCAGTGAGTCTGAGCCAGGCTGGGTTTTGCCCTCCAGGGCCATTTGGCAGTGTCTGTTGACATCTGTGATTGTCACACCTGAGGGAGGGAATGCTCCTTGTCTTACTGGGCAGAATCTCTTGATGTTGCTAAAAATCCACAAGGCACAGGTAACCCCACAAGTTTGAGCAGCCCCAAATGTCAGTGGAAACTGAAGAGTGCCCTGCACCCTTCCCTGCCTACCTAGAAGCTTCCCTCACCTGGCTTCTTCCCATTCTTCCCTTAGCCCAGCTACCTCATCCCCTCTCCCTCATTTGACTTGCATTCTCTGCACCTGCCCTTTGTCCAAGCCCAGCTTCACCTCTCCCCTCCCCTGGCCCTTTTGTACCTCTGGAAGGACGCGTCCACTAGAGGGCTCAATGCTGTGCCCTAAGCTCCTGTGACCCTGGCCTTCCCAGAGACAAAGGCAGCTGCCCCGCCCCATTCCTCACAAAGTCTCCAGGGTGAAGCCTTTGGGTCAGTTGCTAGGGAGCCAGGTTGGAAGCTCCCTGGAGGAGGCTGTGGCATGGACTGGTGGTACAGGACCAATGCCTGGGTGTGCATTGCTGTGGGAGTGTAGGCTCTTGATATATTGGGTTGACTGCTAAGGGCCACAAGTCCTCTTGTGACCACCAGGGACAATGACTGGGAGTTTCTGTCTTGAAAGGCTTTCTCCTAGGATGTGCCTGTGTGCCCAGGCAGGGCTGCTGTGGATTGATCTAGACTGGACCTTCTGTGGATTCCTCCATGCATGGGGTCCTCTATCACGTGGACAAATCAGGAGTAATGGGGCAGTCGCTGGGGCAGGTCTCCTTATGGCCTGTGGGGCAACTCTGCAACACATGGTCCACACTCAGAAAAGGACTTCCCTGAATGTGAGCTTCACTTGCACTCAGGATGTAGAGATGCAGCCTGATTACCATCCCTTGCCCCAGAAACCCTGCTAGGGACCTCTCATATCTTGCCTACTCTTTCGTGCATGTCTGAGGACCCTGGCTTGTCAGGGGTGCTTATGTAGCCTGCACACATTTGCAATGACCCATAAATTAAGGGGATGGAGTGACCACAGTAGAGTCAGAAAGGAAGTGGGGAGAATACATCCAGGGAGGACATAGACAGTCCCAACGTATAGTTCAGTCCGTGCACATAGAGATTGAAGGTGTCCCTGAAACCTTACCCTACAGATGGGATTGCCCCCAGTCACATCATCTACCACCTCAGTCCTTCCTGTCTCTAAATCCTTGGACCTCAAGGGTCTATATTTTAAGTATAGATTAGTAGTTGAGTATTTGAGGAGGATGCGTTTTTATTTATTTTGTTTCTTGTTTGTCCTTTTGAGACAGCATTTCTCTATGCAGTTCAGGCTGACCAGGGGCCTGCAGTGATCCTCCTACCTCAGCCTCCTAAGTGGGGAGATGATGTGCACCACCTGACCTTGCCACCTTGTATATGTTTCTGTACATCTTCCTCAAATATTTTTATTGGGTGGTACTGGAGATTGAACTCAGAGCTTTTACACTGAGTTACATCCCCAGCCCATTCTCAATTTTGAGGTATCGTTACCTCATGTTTCTTAGACTCAGCTCAAAGTTGAGGTCCTCCTGTCCTGGCCTTCTACATGGTTGAGATTACAGGTGTGTGTCACCTGGCATTGTAGAGACTGTAAAATATCACTGCAAATGTTAGATGACCAGCATGTGCTGTCTTAAACATTTTAAGAATATAAATAAATGCCCCTAATTATAGTCATTTTACAACAATTGCTGCAATACCCAGAATTTCTCATATCTGAACTGGAAGTCTAGCTATTAATGAGTAACTCCTCATTCCTTTTCATCCAGCACCTGGTAGCCTGTAGGCTACTGAATTTGCCTCTGGGAATTGTCCTATTCTAGGTATTTCATATAAATTAAACTATATAAACAGGTGCCATTGTCGTTCTTGCTTCTTTTCAGGTTTCCCCACGTTGGAGCTGGCATCGGAACTTTGTTTTTCATGGCTAACATTCAAGTGCATTTATGCACCGCACTTATTTAGGTTTTCATCCATTTGGCACACTTAGGGTGTTTCCCCAAGATGCCTGTGGCAAAGGCTGCTGTGGACCGTGTTACCATGCAGGAAACTATTTGAATCCCTGTTGCATTCTGCCTGAACACCCTGGTGACCTGACAGCTAGGCTCTGTTTTCTACAGTGGCTACTATTCCTTTAAGGAATGTGTGAGGCTTCCAGTTCCTGAGGTTTCTCCAACACTCTTTGTTTAACTTTGTGTTAAACCATTACAGTAGTGAATCGTAGATGTGGAGCTGTTTTCATTTGCATTCCCTTAACGAGTCATTATATTGAGCATCTTTTTTTAAATTTTTATTTTGAAAAGAAAAAAACCAAATGAGAAAAAGGGAAAATAGGGTCATTCAAGACAAAAGCATGGACATAGTACATGAATTAAAACCACTATACATGGTGTTCTACAATGGTTACCATGATGTCTCTTGTTATCTTCAGTAGAACCGTATATATCATCAGGCACAATAAAATTGAGCATAGCAGTACAGCACAAAGCCAGTAAAAAGCAAACATTCAAGACATTATAGGGCTTCAAAAGAGAGTAATAATCAAACCAAAATCGGTATCACAGTGAATCTCATTGTCTCAGAGTAGTTGCCTATACTGTTAGACTTGAAACTATCAAACATAACAGATTCGAATAAAATCAGTCAGGACAAGAGAGCGATCAAACAAAACGGATTCAAATAAAATCAGTCAAAACAAGACAGTGAAAGCAATAAAGGGCTTCAAATTAATAGGAAATAAAAAATGGTTACCATAGTATATCCTGCTATCTTTGGAATAGCTGTCCATGCCATCAAATCTAGTACAAACAGACAAACTGGAACAGAATATAACCAAACTAAACAGAGTGATGAAAACAATGTGGGTTTCAAATCCTGACACAAGATTAACAATGGCCACTGCCTCATTTTTAGACAATTCCTCCCCTTTCACTTTCACAGGGTACCTTGTACATTTTGTATCCCACTAATTCCTTTAGTTTTTAAATTATGGATGCCTCCTGCTATTTCAGTGGTTTTCAACCTTTTTACCCCTGAGCTTGATCTCAAGTTGTATCCATTTACCTACAAAAGCCTCAAGGGTTTCCTTCCTTATAGCTGAGTAGCTTTCCATTGTATAAAAATGTTATGTCTTTCTAATCAATCTGCAGCTGAAGGGTGAGCTACCCCCACTTTTTTCTGGTGCCCTGTCACATAGAGCATTCTTTTCTCATCTTTGACTTTCAATCTATACACCCTCTTTCAGGTTAAATATATTTCTTATATAGAGCATCTTGATGGACCCTCACTCCTGATCCACTCTGCCCGTCTTTCTTTTTATTAGTGTATCGAGGCCATCTATGTTAGTGATTATGGCCAACCTTCTCTGCCTCATCTCAGTCATGCTATTGTTCTCTGTTGGTTGTCTACTTTTCCACTTCATTCCACTGTCTGCCCAGTTCAGTGAGCCCCCGTTACCACTGTTCCTGAAACCATGGTCTTTCTCTCTCTCTCTAGAAGGTCATTAAGTATTTTTTGTAGGATTGGATTGATGGTCATGAGCTCCCCTAATTCCTCTTTTTCATGGAAGCATCTTGTTTCTCCATTAACTTTGAGAGACAGTTTTTCAGGGTATGTCATTCTGGGTTGAAGGTTATTTTCTTTAAGGGCTTGGAATACTTCCCTCCAAGCTCTTCTTGATTTGATTGATTGTGTTTAGAAGTCTGTCATGATTCTGATGGGCTTTCCTTTATAGGTGATCTGGGTCTTTACCCTGAGAACTTTTAATATTGTGTTTTTGTGTTGAATTTCTGGGATCTTGATTATTATATGTCTGAGTGTAGAACTATTTTAGTTGTAGCTGGCTTGAGTTTGGAATGCCTCGTATATCTGAAGATCATTTCCTTCAATACTTGGAATGTTTTCTTTACCTATTTCTGTAAATAGCTTTTGTATTCCATTTGTGTAAACCCTGCTTCTTCATTCACATTTTTTATTCTTAAGTTATAGATCCTCTTGTCATTTGCTAGCTTTTGTATTGTTCCTTCCTGGTTCATTGTTATTTTTAAGAGACTTTTCCCTTTGAGATCACAAGTTGCAAATCTGTCGTCAAGGTTTGATAGTGAATCTTCAGTTTCTTTCAAGCAGTTTTGCCAGCTTTCAATGAAGTTTTTAATTTCCTAGTAGTCTCTGAATCTGTTTCATGAATTCCAGATTTTTAAAAATATTTTTCACCTAAGGTTTCCCTCCTTTTTCTTTGCTCCCCATTCTTCCATCTGTGTCTTCTTGAGAGATAGTTCGCATCTCTGTTATTATTTTTCTTATATATCTTCTTTTACTTGTATTAGTATTTCTGTTTTGAGTTGTTCTATAATGTCATGAACATATTTCTTTATGTCAGATGCTTCTTTTTCAGAAACTGCAGGTGTGCGGCTCCCGATCTCATCTGTGTTCACCTCTCCTGGGTCAGTACTGCTTGGGTTGGAGACCGGAGACTGCCATTTGTTTCTTCCTCTTGTCATGTTTCTGGTTTCTTCCAGACAAGTGCATAGTGGGGTCTCCACCCTTCCTGTATTCGTTATAAACAGTCTGATGTGTGCTGGCTAGGGATTGCTGCTTTCCCTAATCTGCTGGTCACTACTGTAGTAGAAGCAGGGGCAGCGCAGGCTGGACCCTCCCTTCTGAACTGGTTAACCACAAAGAGTCTTCACCACCTTAGTTTGTGCCCCATGGGTGGGATTTTTTAAGGATAGCTTTAGGGAAACCTTGGCCTTGGCTATTGGATCATGCACCAGGTTAAAATTCATTCCAAGCAATTTCCACCAATTTTCTCTGTGCTATGAGTGGCTGAATGAATCTGGCTACAGTTCTGTTCCCAGGATTTTCCTTCCAGACTCCAAAATGGCATCTGGCCAATCACCCACTCCCACAGGAGGACTGAGTCCTCCACCCTCGCTGTCAGCCAGTGTGGTTCTCAAGTCTGCTGCTCCCCTCTGCAACTGTGTCTTCCCACTGAGGCCTCCAGGCTTGCCAACCTCCAGCTTCCCTGTGACTGTGCATCTCTCGATTCCAGTGGCACTTTTCACATATGGGACCTCGTCTGGTGAAACTGCATCTGGCTACCATCTTCTGTTTAATTTTTTCTTGTCTTCTCTGTCTCTGTGCTTCAATTCTCACTTTAGTTTCTTCCCCTTTAGTCAAGGGGATGCATTTCTTTCCTTCTGATCTTCTCCAGAATGCTATATTCCAGCTTCTGTGATGTTTCTCTCAGAGAAGTTTTTTACTTTGCTGCTTACCATTCCACCATCTCTCCAAAATCCCAGTGCGATGTTTTAAATTTTTCTGGGAAGGTACTCAGAAGAGCAATAGGTGGTTAAATGGACCCTCTGGTCCTAGATTTATGAGGAATCTCC